ACTTTACGTGTTATTAAATAATTATTCTTATTCTGACCAATTTATATAATCCTCAGATGTTATTAAATAATGATTATATATTATTATTATATTACAATAATATTACGGTTCCTATCAAATAAACTTTAGTTACGTCATCTAAGGCGCGATTTTTAAATCAATTGTTGCCAACCATGGACATGTTCGGCGCCGCGCCGCGCCGTGCTGACTAACTGGAATTTAAATTTCGCGCTGGGGATTCAGGTGGCAGCTCTGATGTAAAAAATGTCAAGTTGCCGTAATTGTTTATTTATTTTACGACATTGCCATTTGTTTTCATACTTTAGTTTTTCATTATGAGTTCTTAGATTATATAAATAGCGTTGTGATACTTTACGCTTAAAACATGTTTACTAGCAGACCTTGCAGTCGAACACTGTTCTTTTTGGAACCTCTTCTATTGCGAAGTGTACAAGATATCTTAATAGCCTTAAAAAACTCATCGTAACTTTATTAGAATATTTTGAACGGGAAAGCGGTAGTAATGGTCCTTTATGTCCCTTAAGTGCTGTTAAAAAGGTGAGTTTTGTTGATGTAAATAATAACTGTTTATATATTTAATGAATTTGTTTTTGTTTCCTAAAATATTTTAATTAAAAGAAAATATATAAAAGTGGGAAACTCTGTGCCGGTCAAGCTTAATCAAGTGGCTAAAAGTTTATTTGGTATGAACTTTAGTATAGTTGCTCTCTACTTACTTACTACCTATAAATATCGTAATCTTAAACCATACAGGGTGTTTTCTACTTATTTTTATACCGCGTGGTGCGTAGAAACACGGGACATAAGAAATCCCTTGTAAATTTTGAAAAGGTCACATATTATCACCCCAGATGATTTTATGCAAAAGTGGTATTAGACTTTTTTAAAGAGGCGTTAAAGTTGTATTTTCGTCTAGAATTTCGTTTCATTTGGAATAGGTATTTAAAAGTTATTTGCAAAAATCTATCTTTAATTTTTTTAAATGTATAATATCGTCCAGAGAAAGCTACAATTAAAATACCAGCAAAAATGCTCTTGCATATGATTTTGTCATATGATTCTGTCATTGTCAAATTCGATTTTCCATATTTACAAGAATTTGTGTGGTTTGGAAAGGGTGGTTATTTTTTTTCTGAATTGGAATGATCACCTAAAAAATAATTAGTTGAACTGAGAATAGCATTCGTGGTGTATCACTTGTTTGCTGTTCATTACTCGATCACTCTCAGACATCGCTCATACCACATACATTATTAAAGAACTATACTAATTAATAAAACGTTCACAGAATTTCTCATTCACAGCCGATCAATACCCATATGATTGTAAAATTCACTCCTCAGAATACAAAGCTATTAAGGCGAGAATCTTTAGCATTCTACATAGATGTCATTTTTAGTTCATCTAAATTTCTGTATTTAATATACCCAAAAGGAGGATTTTTGAGTGTGCTCCTATGGAAGAAATCGTTCGGCGAAAGGTACTGTTGTCTTTTCCAATGTTTCTCCAATAGACGAGAGTTAATGTTTTTCTTCTCTTCAACTTGAAGGGAGAATATTCAAGTCATTGTTGTTTTTGCCCATTCACTGTTTTATTTTGTAGATTTTCTTACAGTGCAAGTGGCGAAATCTATTTGGTACCTCCAAATTTTTGTAAACAAAATGTGACATCGAATTTGACGATGGCAAAATCACATTTTTGCTGGTATTTTAATTGTAGGGGCTCTGGGCCGTATTATAAAATTTTAGTAATTTGAAGGTAGATTTTTGCAAATATCAATCATTTAAATGCCGATTCCAAATGAAAAGAAATTCTAGACGAAAGTATATCTTTAACACCTCCTCAAAAAAGTGTAATACAACTTTTGCATAAAATTACCTGGGGACATAATATTGTCGTTTTCAAAATTTACATGGGATTTACTGTCCCGTGTTCCGATGCCCCAAACGGTATGGACCACCTTGTATATCAAGTCCCAAAGTTTCTTTATTATATAACCTGTAGATTTTCGATACTCTGTTGTAAGACTATATACTCTTTTAACTCTAGCTTGCATACTCTGTTCCAAGCTACAATTAAAATACCAGCAAAAATGTGACTGTGTGATTATTAAATTCGATGTCATATTTTGATTACAGTTGGGGGTGGAACCTTTGGCGTTATACAACAAAATAAAACACTAAATCACCACAATACACCAAAACACTTTAACATTTTACACTGGACGCGCGTTTCGCTAGCCATGTTAGCATCATCAGCAGATTATTAAATACTGAATATTATATTTTGTTTACAAAAATTTAAAGGTACTAAATAAGAGTAATTTTGTATAAAATAACTATGAATTTCCCTACATCTGAGAAAGTTATGGTGGTTAAGCGGCATTTTGCTGGAAATAGTATTCTCGCTGTGTTAGATATGATCGCTACTCAGTCTCCGGAAAGCCTATACCGTAGAAGTCAACAGTTTAAAGAATAAATCAGATATTTGAAACTAAATGCACTAAGGTATTAAGCACATGGAATTGTGAAGGCAAAAATAATTGAAGAGGAAGAAATCAATATGACTTGAATATTCTTTATGTTGAAAAAAACAAAAACATTGACTCCCGTATATTGGGGATACAGTAGGAAAATACCACACGATCTTTCGCCAAACTTTTCCTTTTCCTGTGGAGCACAGAAAAAGTGCCTATAAAATTTTATTATTTATTATTTAATTAAAATGCCTATAAAAAAATTTATAGGCATATTAAATACAGAAATTTAGATGGACTAAAAACGACATCTCTGTGGAATGCTAAAGATTCTCCCCTTAACAGCTTTGTATTGTGAGGCGTGAATTTCACAATAATTTGGGGTATTATTTGACTGTGAATGGGGGATTATATAAACATTTTATTAATTAGCATAGTTTAATAAAGTTCCTTTACTTAAAAATTCCATTCTACTTTTTTCTTTTATTTTATTTGTTTTATTTGTTAAATTATTGTGGATGTATGATCGAGGCCTGCGAGTGATCGAATAATGAACAGCAAACAAATCATACACCGCGAATACTATTCTCAGTTCAACTAATTCTTTTGTAGATGATCATTCCAATACAAACAAATCACCGCCCTTTTCAAACCACATAACTTTTTGTGAATAAAAAAAAATGACATCGAATTTTACAACGGCAAAATCATATTTTTGCTGGTATTTTAATTGTAGCTTTCTCTGGGCCGTATTATAATTTTTTAGTAATTTGAAAGTACTCACATGACACTAAAAATATACGGAAAGAAATTTAAAGAATCTTTTTTTATACATAGCTTTGATAATCTGTAATAAACATTTTTTGTTAAAATGGATACGGTAAACAATGTTTATCGTTCAGTCCCAATATTAATACAAATTCTTGCACATTTCGATTTGTGGTCTCTTGGGTTTCAGAAGAAATTTGACTATTATTTTGGCCTTAAAATGCCTAGAAACATTATTTCACAGTTTAATAGAGTCAGAATAGTACCACTGTATCAACAGGGCTACCGGCAGTTTGCAATAGCTGAAATTGTAGGAGTTAACCAAAGTGATGTTTCGCGAATATTAAAAAAAATCAGGGAGACAAACGAGGTTACAGACCGGCCTGGACGAGGTAGAAAGAGAGTTATACTGCTGTGCAAGACCGTCATATTATCCCTAATTGCACGACGCCTTGAAAGAGTAAATGCTTCAAGAAAGACCATAGCAAGAAGACTCCATGACAGAGGATTACATTTAAGGAAGCCTCTACCTGTTCAGAAGCTTAATTTACAGCACAAAATTACGCGACTACAATGGGTTGAGGAGATGAGGGCAAATGGACCTAATTGGAAATTCGTCATGTTTAGTCGTGTTTAGTGATGAAACAAGAATAGGCCTAGTGTCAGACTCGCGACGAACTTTTGTCTGGAGAGCATCTGGAAGACGCTTGAATGCAGCTCAACCCCGTGTCCCGTTTCAAGGGGGAAGCATTATGGTATGGGCAGGTATAATGCACGGAGCTTCTTGTTTTTATTGATGGCACAATGACAGGTGCCTCATATCTTAGAGACGTTTTAGAGCCTATTGTGCGTCCATTTTGAGGGGCAGTGGGTGATGGATTTGTTTACATGGACGATAATGCTCCTCCCCATCGCACTTTAGCGGTTCGCGAATTTTGTGAGGAAGAGGGTATAAGAAAACTGATGCTTGGGACATGCTAAAACGCCATATTGCGAAAATGAATGATCCCCCCCGTACCTTAAATGAATTGAAAATTGCTGCGCGCGAAACATGGGAAGCCATTCCTCAACATCTTCTGGACAACTTAATTGAGAACATGCCACGTCGTCTCACAGCTTCCATTGAGGCTCGAGGAGGCAATACAGACTAATTAGTTGTGAGAAATAATTAAAATTGTTTTCATTATTTTCTGTTTAAAATGAAATTTGTTTTTGTTGAATTTCACCCATGAAATAAATAAATTATAATAACAGCCTAGTTGCACTTAGATTTTTAATTTTACATTAGTTAGTCGTGTAGTAAGCCAACATGTCCAAAAATATAAAAAGAATCATATTAGGTCCAAAATAAAATAAAAATATCGTTATGTGGCAATAATTTTGGCCATGTGTATAGATTTTTGCAAATAACTTTTAGATGCATATTTCAACTAAAACGAAATTCTAGACGACAGTACAACTTTAACGCCTCTTCAAAAAAGTCTAATACAATTTTTGCATAAAATCCTATCTGGGGAGATAATATTTGACCTTGTCAAAATTTACATGGGATGTCCCGCGTTCCGATGCACCACACGGTATCATTATCATTTATTTTTTTATTTAAAGGGTTCTTGGCTTTTGGTCAATATTAAAAAGAACCCTTTATACAAAAAAAAATATTAGGATGGTACAAAAAAATTAAAAAAAAAATATTTATTATATATCTTGTAATTAAGAGTTTCTTCAACAATAGGTATATTGAAAATATGCAACGGCAGCAAGAGGCAGTGCGACTGGAAGAACAAGCCTCTCGACAACGACGTATGCAACGTTACAGCAACGCCATGGAAGAGCTTTATCAGCAAAACTTGCCATCGCCCGTCTCCCCAGGTCCTGATGCCGATTTTCTTGCAAACGTCTATATGCATCATGTACCTCCATCCTTTGCTCAAGGTGAACGTCTATATATGCGTGGAGGGTAAGAAAATTTACTTATTTTACTCTTTGTCGTAGTCTGTATTTCATGTGCAAATGGTACAAAATTGCAGAATTAGTAGGTAGTTCATATAAAGTTCTTTGGTTTTCTTTTTTTTTTGGTTGATCTTTATAGACTAAATGAGTTACTGTGATTGTGGAATGGGGGGATCTTTTTTTCTCAATAACAAGGGGCCGTCCCCTGTCGGAAACACTGCGACCTGTGAGGCCCATTGTGTTTGTCCCCTTAGAGATATCTTAATCATATACTGTTTCAGTGTCCAACTTTTGGAGATCAAGTTAACCAATTTCAAAATAGTTTCAATTAATATTACAAATTTGGTCCTCATAACTGTATTTCTGCACTTCATATACACCCAATTAACACCAACGCTGTTTTCCACCTGTTAGAATCCTATAATTTGAAAAGGCAGTTTTTATTTCCTTGTCCGTTATTCAGCTGTAAGTAGGATATTAACTTTATTGGATTCATGGATGTTTTAATTAATTCTTAAATTGTTTTTCTGTAGATTCGAATCATCAACGAGTTGTCGTCAAACAGGATATGAGTCAATTATACTCAGACCCGCTTAAGGCGGATTCTGTCTCAGTATCAGCATTGATTAACATTCAACCGAGGGTGGGTAACCCTATTATCAGGCCGGAGAGTCCTAGCTGCTTAGGCCTTTAAATTAATGAAAAAAACAATGATTGCGCTGTCAAACAAAATTTCTTACTAAAATGTATATGTTTAAATCTGGTATATCTATGCTCCTAAAATTACAAATTGATAGTCAATTAAAATGGAAAATTAAAAAATGCACCAGTTGAAATGAATAACCTTGGAATATATTCAATTACTAATTTCAGAGCGTATTTAAAATGTTTATGTGCAATATAAACATATCTCATATAGATCCTATAGGCTTGGTGCATTCTCCGCCGGTGTTGCCACCCTCGCTACCACCCCCTGCAGACCCCTGGTACTTAAACAAATACACTGATTTAAATAGTGAGTATACAAAAAAACTTGTTATAATATTATTTGAAAAGTGTATTAGTAAGTAAAATTTGTGAAAATTCTAAGAAAAGAAAATTCTCTCTATTTTGATATCTTCAGATGAAAGTTGTGTTTTTTTGTAATGTGTTGCCTTGATATATGTGGACTGTATAAATAAATGAACTGCACTTGTATAATATAACAACTATATTAATTTAAAGAGTAATACTAAATTTAAGTGAACAGCAAATAACAACGTGGTAGTTGCACCAAGGAACAAAAGCAAAGTGAAAAGTAATTTTTACCCGTCTCGCACCCTCGGATGGGGTTTATGTACAGAAGCGCCGTTGCCACTTCTATTCGAACGGACATGAATTCATGGAATAAACTAAACTTAAAAATACATTGATTTACATTTTACATACGGGCTAACATGCCGCCCGCCTTGAAATAACATTTCAACAAACAAAAAAATATTACTGAATAATATATACAAAAAAAATAAAATAAACTAAAATAAAAATAAGTCATTGAGATGGCAAAACACACAGTTTAGTGATAGCACGTTTATACACCGCACCATCGGCACATCGCACATTAACTACACGGATTACGCCGTCTGGACCAGGGTGGAGCTGGATGATTCTCCCAGTTTTCCATCTATTCACTGGAACATTTTCCTCCTTAATAACTACTAAACTGCCAATTTTTAGTAGTTCTGAGGACGACTTTTTCCATTTAAGACGGGACTGCAACTCGGAGATGTACTCTATATTCCATCGCTTCCAGAAATGTTGGACCATGGCTTGTAGATGTTCGTACTTTTTAAGTCGTGCTTCCGGGATTGAAGTATGGTCTGCTTCTGGAAGTGCTGTTAATGGTCTTCCCACCAAGAAGTGACCTGGAGTGAGCGGCGTAGGATCTTGAGGGTCCGATGAGAGTGGAGATAATGGTCGGGAGTTCAGAACCCCTTCAATTTGAACTAATACTGTGCAAAGGTCTTCATAAGTTCACCTATAACGCGTTTTAAATGGTATTTGATGCTCTTGACCCCTGCTTCCCACAAACCTCCAAAATTAGGTGCTTTAGGTGGATTAAAATGCCAAGATATCCCTTCAGCTGACAAAGTTGAGGATATTTCATCAGTACTAGATTTTAATTTGTTAAAAAGTATGGCGTTAGCCCCGACAAAATTAGTACCATTGTCTGAGTAAATGTGTCGTGGCTTACCTCGCCTTGCAATAAACCGTTTTAGTGCAGCAATAAAAGAGGTTGTCGTCATGTCGATAACGACATCTAAATGTACACATTTAGTGCTCATACAGATAAATATTACGATATAAGATTTTAGCATTTTTGGATTTCGCGTTTTGCGATCTCGTATAGATATTGGCCCAGCATAATCAATGCCAGTACAGGCAAAAACAGGTTGAAACGATGTAACACGACATTCCGGCAAATTTCCCATTTGATAAAATTTGGTTTGATAAAATTTTAACTGGTTTTGCCCTGAAACACACTACGCAACTTCTTACTATGGTTCTACAGATACTACGACCTGCAATAGGCCAAAATCTTTGTCTAATTGAATATAATAACTGCTGTTGACCACAATGTAATAATTTTAAATGTTCGTGTCTAAGAATTAATGTGGTTAAAGGGTGTTTATTATGCAGAATGATCGGATGTTTCTGTTCAGCAATAAGGTTTGCCTTTTGTATTCGTCGTCCTACTCTGAGTATACCAACTTCATCTACATATGGATTTAAACATAAAATATTAGCAGAATTTGACACATTTTTTCCTTTTAATAAAGTATTAAGTTCTTTAGGAAAAGACTGCCCTTTCAAGTTCTTCAGGTTGAATTGGACCAGAGATGACACATTTTGACTTGAGGCGCCGGAAAAATCGATAGCATAAAGCTATAACTCTTTGGTATTTTAGTAGAGACGAATATCGACAGAAATCAAACTGATATTCTTCGCTTACCAAAGCTGCGTGAGTCACCAGCTTTTGTTCAGAAATGTCGCTAGGAAAATCAACAAGACTGTTTATGATTGGATGAGAAAATAATAAAATCGGACCTTTCCACCACAGTTCTAAATCACGTAAGTATGAAGCGGAAACGCCACGGGACAGACAATCTGCAGGATTATTTTCCGACTGAACGTGATACCAGGTTTTAGGATCAGACAAATTTTGAATTTGTGTGACTCTGTTAGCCACGAATGTTTTCCAACGACTAGGACAACCCTGAATCCAACATAAAGTTATAGCTGAGTCTGTCCAATATAAATATTTATCGATAGGAATATTTATCGATTGTTTAATCTTCTCTACTAATTTAGTAGTTACATAGGCCGCGCAAAGTTCTAAACGCGGTACAGTTATTTTCTTCAGAGGAGCTACCCGAGATTTGGATGCCATAAGATAAGAGGAAATATATTTCCCATATGTTGTTAAACACACCATGTAGACACAACCACCGTAAGCCTTTTCTGACGCGTCTGCGAAAGCATGAATCTGCAAGACCTCCCAATTATTACCAAGTATGTGTCGAGGAGTACTAACTGTGTTTGGTTTGGAACTTGCAAATCGCTATAGAATTTTAACCACCTTTCAGCAAGATATTGTGGAACCGGTGTATCCCACGACAATTTTTCCTGCCAAAGACTTTGTAGAATTAACTTCCCAACTACTACAAAAGGACCCAGTAAACCTCGTGGGTCAAATATCTGACTTGTGACGGACAATATTACATGTTTTGTAATTTTTTCTAAAAGACGAATCGACTTTAATCGAGTAATGAATGGAATCTTGCGCGGCATCCCAGAATATTCCTAGTGTCTTATTTTGCTCTCCTTCCCCTAACTGCAGGATACTGGAATGTTGATCTGTGTCAAGTTCAAATTTATTTACCAATTGAGATGAATTTGAGAGCCACTTGCGTAGCTGAAAACCGGCGGTACTGAGAATAAACACGATGTCCTGTTGCAGTTGTAGTAATTTTGCTTCTGAAAATTCACCAGCTAGCAAGTCATCCAGATAGAAACAATTCAAAATAGTTTTACTTGCTTGGGGGTATTTATCCTTGTACTCTAAACCTAATTGGTGCAATGTTCGAACTGCTAAAAATGGAGAAGATGCACAACCGTAAGTTACCGTGTTGAGTTCGAAACATTGTATTTGTGCGGATGGATCGCCAGGGGTTTTCCACAAAATTCTTTGAAATTTACGTTGACTAGGGTCGATCAACACTTGTCGATACATTTTAGTGATATCAGCATTCATCACATAAGGATAAATTCGAAAATTTAAAAGAATAGAGAGCAAATCTGGTTGAATAGTGGGACCTACATATTGCACGTCATTCAAAGAAACTCCCGTGTCACTTTGTGCCGAGGCATAAAAAACTACTCTGAGGCGAGTTGTTAAACTGATGTCTTTGACAACGGCATGGTGGGGTAAATAAAAATATTCATTTGAATCACCGGAATCCATAGAAAAATTTGTGATTTGAGTCATATGACCGAGCTTTTGATATTAATCAAGAAATGCAAGGTATTCCTTTTTTAACCCGTTATCCTTGAGCAAACGCTTTTCTAACATAAGAAGTCTTTTAAATGCCGTTTCTCTAGAAAGACCTATTCGACTTATATTTTCCTTAAAAGGAAATTTAACCACGAAACGACCTTCTGAATTTCGAGTATGAGTATTATTGAAATGATCTTCTCAAAATCCAGCCTAATCTAGTTTTCTGAAGAACCGCCATACAAGGAATACAAATCTGTTTCATTAGCAAAATCCTAAAGAAAATATCATTACCTAATAAGATATCTACAGGTCCGCGTACATTAAATGTTTCATCTGCTAACTTCAAGTTACTGGGAATATTCCATTTAGATATGTCAAAACAAACAGACGGTAGTTCTTGGGTTATTTTTGATATTACTGAACACGGAATGTTTTCTTTAAATTCATTATTTACATTTGACATGACTGTAACATTTACTTTAGAACTAGATGTAGTAGACAATGTTTGACCTACACCTCGGATTTCAAAATTAACAGACTGTTTTTCGAGACCCAGTTTATAAACCAAGTTAACCGAAATAAAATTACCCTGCGACCCTGGATCAATCAACGCTCGAGCTAAATAAATATTTCCATCGGAACTAAAAACTTGAACCGTAGCCGTAGGCAATATTGGCAACGATGTACTAGACCCTAATCGATATTCCCTAACGGTACTCGCCGCACACAGGGCTAATAAATTCTTGGGATTGGTACCTGATGGTGACGAAGTCGCTGCTGGCGCCGACAGGGATGAAACTTCCGGCCTATTAGTTGTTTCGGCCGTACACTCATTTATGTGCAACAAAGAATTATGTTTATTTCCACATTCGCGACATGAACTAAGTTTGGGACAATTAGTTAAGTGCTCAGGACTAAAGCAATTTAAGCACAATTTTAATTTATTTATTGCATTGAGCCTCGACTGACTATTTAAGTTTTTAAATGCGAAACATTTATAAATCGAGTGATTTTTTCTACAAAAATAACACGAGAATTTCTGCTGTGTTGTCGCAGCATGACATTTAATTTTTTCTGACTTAAAATTTAATTTTACTTCACTTTTTGATGATTCTAATTTCTCTAAAATTTCGCATTGGCGTTTTAAAAACTTATTTACGTCATCAAATGTGGGAAATTCACGTCGGGTTACAGGATCAAATTTATTAACAAACATGAAAACAATAAGTGTATCCCAACACACTCGACTTTCTGCCCAAGACTTTCTAGGGATCTCAAACTTTTATTAAATAAGTCATAAACTTTCCGTAATTCGGAATAAGATTCTTTATTTACTTTAGGACATTCAAACAAGTCCCTGACATAACTGTCCACTATTAGTCTTTTGTTTTCATATCTGTCTTTTAAAATTGACCAAGCATTAATATAATTGTCGTTCGTAACCTGTAAATTGGCAATAGCATGTAACGGTTCACCTTCAAGAAACGATTTTAAATAATAAAACTTTTCTACATTTGACAAATGAACATTTTCATTCACAATGGCTTGAAAGGCATCTCGAAATTCGAGCCATCGTTTATATGAACCATTAAAAACTGGTAATTTAATATCGGGTAATTTTATAGATAGTTTTTGTCGTGAACTATTACTAGCATTACCAAAATTGCCGCCACTGGCTCTTGATTCAACGCTAGACTGTCTGTCTACTTCACGCTAGACTGTCTGTCTACTGTCATAATTTTTTAAAATTGACTTAAATTTCGATACGACTGTCAAATAATCTTGTTCAAAACTAGTTCTGTTTGGACATTCATTCTGTATAATTTGGTCTATCTCATTATCGTCGTCCTTTGACAGTAATAATAATGATTCTATATCTAACTGAACATCCTCAAACTGTGATAAAATAGGCTCAACAATGTCTAACCGACTTTTTAACTGTATAATGTCAATTTCGGACAAATTACTAGTATCGACATTGTCAAGAAATGAATTCGCTCTTGTTAACTGACCCTTAATAGTACCCCATCTTAATTTTAATTTCGAAAGATCCGCCATATTAAAATATAACCAAGAGCCAAAAAGATAAAAATAAAATATATAATGTAATTCAGCTGCACACTCAAAAAGACCTCCAACGCAATATTAATTCAAAATAAGTGACCAAATCTAGACTCTAACATAAAACGGACTTACTTCGAAATAACTTCCGGACTGGAACTATCAGCGTAGGCCTGAACTCGTACTAATGGCCGCCTTGACTGCGGAAATTCTTCACTAAATCGGAACCAAATCGGGCTCGAATGGACCAAATGTTACCTTGATATATGTGGACTGTATAAATAAATGAACTGCACTTGTATAATATAACAACTATATTAATTTAAAGAATATTACTAAATTTAAGTGAACAGCAAATAACAACGTGGTAGTTGCACCAAGGAACAAAAGCAAAGTGAAAAGTAATTTTTACCCGTCTCGCACCCTCGGACGGGGTTTAGGTACAGAAGCGCCGTTGCCACTTCTATTCGAACGGACATGAATTCATGGAATAAACCAAACTTAAAAATACATTGATTTACATTTTACATACGGGCTAACATAATGAGACACGCTATATGTATTTAATTGATTTTTGGATTCTAGGAAAAAAATAAAGGTGAGTTTTATTAAAGAAGCATATACCTAAAATGTAAGGATTTTAAATTTAAATAACAGCTACCTAAATTTTAGTTGACCTTGTATAGCCTAATATTTAATTGAGGGTGTCTCAGATTTTAATCGGGAAAATTTAATAGACGATAGAACTTGCAAAAATAAAACAAAAAGTTCATATCAACTTGTAAGATTTAAAGCTTCCTTTTCGAGATACAGGGTGTTAAATTTACTTAAAAAAGAAAAAAAAAATAAGATATTTGAAAAACTATTTAATCGATTTTGATATAACTTGACCCGTTTATAATACTTACTATGGAACTTAATTTGATGTAATTAGATTTAAGTTTAATGGCCAAGGGCGGCGGTGGGGCATCACTGTTAAATTCTTTTAAAGGAAAAAAATAGGCACGCCACTGCTTTTTTAGAAGTTTAATATTATTTTTGGATTTAGTAATTAAAAATATTATTTTTTTATCTCCTGACTTTTTTGTCTATTTTGCTTACTTCTTGCGAAAAAAATTAAATTCTAATTGGTAATTAATAGTATAATTAGTATTCTAATGGTACCCTGTATCTCGAAAAGGAAGCTTTAAATCTTACAAGTTGATATGAACTTTTTGTTTTATTTTTGCAAGTTCTATCGTCTATTAAATTTTCCCGATTAAAATCTGAGAAACCCTGTATAATACAATTTCGTGTTTCAACATTTTTTCGGCAATTTTATTATCATTTGAATTTGTTACAACACAATGCGACGCGAATCCCAGTTTAGGTTCTTTGTCACTTAATGTTTACTACCCGAAACAGCGTTACAGCACATAATCTTCGTACCTGAGAAGTTCATAGTTTCAATAACTGCACTAGTAAAGATCAAAATATGTACTTAAATATTATGACATAGGCACAATTTCAATATATTTCCATGCCACCAAAATAAACGGCAACCGGGACGGCGTGGAATAAAGAAGCCAGACATTTCTTTTTCTGCTGTACCGAGCGCTTCTGTCGAAATTTTAAAACATCGGTTGAAATGCACCAATGCTATAAAGGTTATCATAAAAATAATGATTTCGCAAAGCTGAACGATTGTATTTTGTTTCAGTTTATTTTGAGGTCACTAAAACTTATTACATTTTATTAAACATACTAACTGCTATAACATTATAGATTTATTATTTAATGAATTATAGAATGCCAAGGAGAGCTCCTTGTCCAGGCCTGGATACGATTACAGAACCAAGGGTCCGAATTACCAGTCCTAAACCATCGCCAAAAAGGTCCATCAAGTTTTATAGTATAAGCGTTGATTGAAAGAATTGGGAAGATCCGCAACCTAATGGACAGCGATCTTCATTTCCATGATGCCGTTCTTTGTTTGATCATATAATATTATATTAAATTGTTTAATGATAGAAAATCCATATTATTAACGTACTGTACCCAAAATCCGTAAATCTATGGATTAATCCGTAATTCTGGCAACACTGTCTTCGGCAACCACCTACTCTGTCGACTAAAAACAGAACTACAATACACAGTATTCTCAATACGCTGTAGTTACATCGGCGGCGCAGAGCTAAACTAAATCTCGGACAGCCTGACGGTAACGCCAGCTACACCTCGGACATATTTTGTGCCACAAAATCACCCATAAGGTTGCGCATCTTCTTATTTCTTCAATCAGCGGTATAATTATTCAATTTTTACTATTTAGCAATTTCTTTTAGACATAAACATAAACATGGGAAACAGGTTGTTCCGCCCCCTCCACGTCCCGGGAGAACGTTTTCAGCACGAAGGGTCGAGGAAGCTCGAAAGCTGTATAGAGAGATATCAAGACAAACAGAGGTACTACTAGAGTTATCTATTATAGAGGGTGATTCACTGTCGATGGTTGTAACGTTTTTAGTTCGTTACATGTCTTTTGTATATGAAATATGATATGTATTGTCACCGGATTCCGTATCGCTCAGGCCTGATAAATTATTTGACACGCTTGGCGTAGTTCTAATGTTCTCAAGTCGTCAACCCTGTGATGCTTCTGTGGGCATTTATTTTCAAGGTTTCGCTCTCCGCGAGGTAAGGTCACTTTTTGTTTACCGGCTGTCCCCGTCGCCATCAACAACCCGGCTTTTACAAATGGTAATTTAAATGTTGCTGTTTAATTTGAATCGGCTGCTATTTCGAAGCTACAGGTAAAGATGAGATATTATCTTTTTTAGATTCGATATTATTATTGAGTATTTTTAGGGTAGAGTTTTGGATTGGCCCAACTCAACTCGTATTTGTATTTTGCTGGCACGTTGGTGTTCTTTTGATTTTATCCTCCAGAATGTTAAATGGAAGAAACGACAGTTGTCTTTGTTTATTATAGAGCCCTCGGAAGTATTTTGAGGTAGGCTTATTTTGTTTATTAGACCTTGTTAGGTTTTAAACACGAGTTTCGTATTTTTAGGGTCCAAGGTACGGATAGTGTTCCAAGGTACGGGTAGTGTTCCAGAGTATGGACATTATCGAAGGTACGGACATTATCCAAGGTACGGACATTATCCAAGGTACGGACATTATCCAAGGTACGGACATTATCCAAGGTACGGGTAGTGTTCCAAGGTACGGACATTATCCTATGGTTGGATGCCCTATATACGGGTGGTTTTCCTATGGACAGGTGTCCGGATTCCTATGGACAGGTGTGGACGGATGTCCTATGTATGGATAGTTTATCTTATGTATAGATTGCTTCAGTATGGATGTAGTGTAAGCCCTATGCTGCTTCGTTCCTATTTCTAAGCCTAGTTGATAGTTACGGCTGTATTGGTTCATGGTGTCCTCATCCTGGTCCCTTTTGTTGTATTGGCCAACAGTAAAATATTTTTATACTACTATCTTTTATACTTTATCTATATTGTACTTTTCCGTAGTCTTTTCATTGAACATATTTCATATTATTTCTAACAAAACTTTACTCGACATATAACCACTATAATTGTTATGATTCTACAATGTTATTTACCATCAACAGTCCATCATGAATAAATATTGTCATTAATTTTAAGTAATATACAATTGTCTTTTCTTTCTCTGTTCATGCCTGGCACCCAATATTCATATTTTTGTTTTTTTATTGTTAATTAGTTTCTCTCCAGGAAATACAGTATCCACGACTGCTCTCCGATGAAAAGCTGCCGTTCGCAGTGGTAGTGTTTTAAAAAACGCTATATGGTACTTTAGCCCTTTATGGTATTGTAATAGGATCTGTTTGGAAATTTGGACTTCTACATAGGCACCTACCTGCTGCATCGATCTAAATTATATTCGGAGTTACAATGCTTTCGCTTTATTTGAAAAGTAGTAGTTGCTTTGATATTTTAGATGAAACAACCATTATATTATTACATTTTTAGAAGCTAGCATTTTTTAACTAAATATACATAGGGTTGACTTTAAAATTACAAATTATATTGAGCAATTTTATAACAAACTGAACAGAAATAAATATTCATTTATATCCGTATGTTATATTTGGTATATCCAATTGGTTGGTTCGGAGACATCGAATATATCCACTTTCCTTAACCCATAACCGAAATTAAATTTTAAATAATCTCAGTTCATGAATGTATCGTTGCATATTCAAGATCATGTTCATATCAATATTACACGTTTCATTTTTTTCTCGAAGACTATATTACAGGTAGATATAGGATAGTATAATAGAGAAATTATGAGATATATAAATAGTTTCTAAAAATGTAATAATATACCTACTGTGTATTTTATTTAAATTAACAAAGATGATACTAATTAGTAAATAAATGGCAATACTGTAGAGCCGAAAATAATTTAAATGGATGGAGCAGGGGCCTTTTTATAAAAATTTTAAATTACAAACAAATCCTATCACCATCTAACTGTTCCTCCCGTGAATCGCTCCTTAATAATATCCAATCTTCGCCCACTTCGTTGTGCACAAACATTACACAGCGACTAGTAAATATTAAATGTTTTTATTTCCATTGCAGGTATATGTACAGTGTTATAGACAAAGTCCGCATCATATGAATTTTTTATTTATTGAGTTGAAATGAATGAAATCGACTTGGTGAAATCTAACTTGGGCATAATTACTTAGTGGTCATATATCGTCGGTGAAATGTTTTAATCTGCTAACTCCATTATCCTAATTTTACAGGAGAGAAAAGAAACAGTACAAAAAGATATATACATATGTAGCAAGTATATTCATGCGTTAATATGATAAAGAGATATCAATAATATTTGTTGGGGAGCAATAAAACTTAATATTTCTTTTAAACTTTAAAAGTTACGATCCTTCCGTATCCTCAATTTAAGGTCTTGAATTTTGTCATTTTTCTGCATATTCAAGTGGCGATAGAAAGCTTTTTCATTTGTACTAAAAAGCCGATTTTGGGATTTCCGTTTTTGGTTTTTAGAATATCTTGCTAGTCGCGCTGAGTACACAGAGAGTTTCTGCTTCATTGTATCCAATATTTCCTTATCACTATTGTTAGCCCCTTCTGCATGCTGTCCGTATTTTTTCTTGATGATCTGCACTTGCTTCAGTAGCTTCTTACTGCTTCCATCTGTGCTCAGAAAACTAGTAAATCTTCCTATGTCTGCTCGAAGCCCGTCAATAGTTAGCCTCAGCCGTTTTTGCCATGGCGCCTGTTTCTTTTTTGCTCTGTCTAGAGTTGGTCTCAATTTTAAATCTCATTATTCTAGCTACAGCGACCGCCGAGCAATATATAACTGCATGCAGCTCTACTATGTTCTTTATATGCTGCAGAATAGGTGGAAGAATGTCTGCGTTTAGGATCTGAAGTGTACGGGACAGTTTAATTGAGTTATGTATTTTAGGTAACGGAGGTCTGTATCTTGGATCTACATTTCTATATTCAATCAGTGCTTTATGAAGTTCCGCATTGATGGTATCTTTTAAGTCACCCACAGTACTATCATTATCTAATGTAGCTAGTTCTATGGGTTGATTTACCTGTTCGTTATTGTTTCCTGCTTCTGCGTTTATCATACTCTGCTGTGGTTGTGGCTGCTGCTGTTCGTTACCCTCAAGTTCTAGATTTACTTCCTCTTTTATACGGTTAAGAGTTGTAAAGGGGAGTAGGTTACGTCTTTTAATCGCTCGAACCTGGTCTGAGAGTCTTTGTTCACTAGCACTGAAGTCTGGATATTGGAAAGAAAATGCACGATGTAATTTATCTCTATATCGAAGCATATCCGTTTCGATGTTAGTTATTTTATAATAGTTGCGCATTAGAAAAATATTTATTTCATTAGACCATTTGGAAGATGAGCAAGTTGCTAGACCAGCTTTGACAAGCTGTTCTCGCAACTTGCTCATCTTCATTAATGGCCTCTTGCTGCGAAGCTGAAGGCACATTTTCTGAAGTTGCGGTATTTGATGCAGGGTTGCCGCTATTGTGTCTTGTGGTAGCCATACACAGGGTGGTGCCACTCGCTTCGCCACTGACTGCGGGAGACTGTAGCTCAGGTTCCGGGGACCCTCTGCCTAAATCCCGTTCACCATTACGTTCATCCGAGGCATTATAATAACTCTCCATCATATAGAAGGGTACACTTTTAGTCGCCTTTTACGACCAGCAGCGGTTACTCTGATCCTATTCTTGGCCGGGTATCAGACGGAAATCAGATGGAAATGTCTTAAGGAAGAAAAATAGATATCTAGGTGGGTGATAAGGGGATAAGTATTTGCTGGTTAGGGTTTTAAGGAAATAAAAAGGAAAGGACAGCGGATAGCTGCTCCTTATTACTATTAATATAAATTGGATTAACAGTTTTTCTAATATTGTAAATTAAATTTATTAATGGATTGTTTTGTAAAGTTAACAATTTAGACAGAAATTTGCCTACAAGTATTTTTCTTCTACATTCTAAATCAATCATAGAAGATTCTCCCAACAACGCTAATCTAGGAGTAGATTTCATACAACCTAAACAAATACGTAAACCCTCAAAAAATACTACATCTGATTTATTTAAATTTTTTTGACTAGTTGGTTTAATAAAAATTGTTGCAAATTCCAAATGAGATCTCACCAGAGCAGAAAAAATAATTAAAAGGGTACAAGGATCAGCTCCCCACCACACTCTACAAATAGCCCTTAAAACATTTAAAGCTTTTTTAGCCTTATTAGTAAGATTTTCAATATGCAAATCCCATTTTAAATGTTTTTGAAAATAACGCCCAAGTACTTCACATGATGTTTATATGGAATAATGTGATTTCCAAGTTGAATCAATGGTGGCTGATCTCTTCGTTTGCCCTTAGTGAACCATACTGCCTCACATTTTTCCAAAGATAAAGAAAGATCTCTATTAATAAGAAAGTCATTTACAAGCTCCAAAGCATTATTAATTTTTTCAGACATCTCAAGTATATTTGAACCCTTAACAAAAATTAACAAATCGTCCGCATAACCAATAATCTTTACATTTAAATAATTTTTAAAAAGTTCTGAAATATAAATATTAAAAAGAATAGTACTTAATGGAGAACCTTGCGGAATACCTTTAGTTGCTAAAACCGGACCTAAGAAGGAACCATCAGATTTTCTGGAAAATAACGATCTATTTTTCATAAGTCTAAAAATTAAATTAGATAATTCTACTGGAATTTGTAAATTAATAAGCAAATTATAGAGTTTGTATATGTTAACATTATCATATGCAGATTTTATATCTAAGAAAACAGCAATAACTGAATGTGACGAATTAAAGGCATCAAAAATAAAAGTAGATAAATAAGCAATATTATCATATATTCCCCTACCCTTACGAAAACCTGCCTG